AAACCAGAAAAAATCCCTGAGAAAACAACGACGGAGCCAGAATAATTTTGGGAACTTTGGAAAAAGTCCCCTAGCTTTTTCCTGTGTGCTCATTGGTCTAACTTTGGGTTTTCCATCAAGCGGATTGGCGGCTTCGGTTCTCCCACCTCTCGAATCCTGAGGCGTGTGAGGGAGTGTTTGGAGCCACAAATCAGTAATATTGTTCCTCACTCAGAGCTGTGCTCTGCTGGCGTGGACAAAATGAACAGAGTGTGTTTTCCTAAACGTGTGTGTGTGTGTGTGTGTTGGGAGGGTGTTTTCCTTGGCAGACACTCAGAGACACAGAGAAGGAGGGAAAGTTGGCAAATTTTCCTGCTCTTAGTCATTGTTTTTACAAATGATGTGCCTGTTTAGATTAATAATCTACACCAACAAACACTGGAATTAGGTTCACACACATAAATTTAGTTTTAACGGTTATAGGGTGTTTCTCTGACTTATGTTTGTGATTGAAGGTTGAAAAGGGTTAAATTATAGCTTTAGAGGTTTAACTAGATTTTTGTGGTATTGTTGAAACTCAATATTGTGCCAAATGATTGTCTTTAGTGATATTTAACTGAGAGGACTCTGACATGTTCTCTTATGTAATGGTTTATTGGTGGCCAGTATATTATAACGTGCAAAGCAAATGAGTCCGAAGATACTCATAAGTAATTTGCAGAAATATTATGCATTTCACAAACTTTATGTATTTACTGTGCTGTCACGTCAGAATAGTTAATGTGAGACAAACATACAGCTGGACTGTGTAAGTCTGCATTACTTTAATAAAACTCCTGGTTGGAGTTACAAAGCTACACTGTGTCAGATAACTTGAGATTTTTTTACTTGATCAAAGTCATTCTTAATGCAATAGTTTTCCTATTGCATTGAGAAACTACTAGCATTAGCGGCTTTTAGAGTCACTGAACTAGCAATTAGCATAGCAGCAATATTTAAGTCAGTTGTTTGGGCAAAAATATTTATTCAAGCAGTTGACATTTTCATCTGCTTTAAGACAACCACTTAAGTTAGCAGCTTTTGATATGAACATCATCACAAGGTAAGAGCTGTAAATGCTAACAGCTACTTTACAGAAAATTGAGCTAACTGCCAGTTAACAGCTACTGCCGCTCAAAGCTACTTCAGGTAAATACTACATGATATTACAGCTAGTAGAGCTAACTCATGCTAAAGCTAAGCATGGCATCCTAACCATGTCTTAAGCTAACTAACAGCTACCTGAGGTAAAAGCTACCTAATTAACTTTTCAATGGAGTAGCTTTTAGCTCATGTAGCTGTTAGCTTTATAAAGCTTGTATAACCACAATAGTTATTACTGTTAGCTGTTTATGTCAATTAGCTGTGAGAAGTTGCTAGTGTCAGTATTTATTAGCTCAGTTAGATGTTAACATTGGTAGCTTTTAGCTCAGTTGAATTCTAACCCAATTAGCTCTTACCAGTTGTAGCGATTAGCTAACCTGCTTGCATTAGCATTTCTCTGAATTAAACTAAGATTACGTTTATATCTTCTACGGAGAGTTTGGCTACTGTTTTTGAATACTTCACCATGTCACCCGTAAATATAAAACACACTTTCAATCTAAGTTAACAGATTTTAAAAAACAACCAAAAAACAAGATATGCAACATTTGTTTAAAAAACAAAACCTTGATTGGTTGCATTGCTTCAAACGAAATGCAATCAAGTTTTCTGTTTTCTGAATAATTGCTAAAACTGTGAGGAAATATAAACAAGACGTGCGTCTTTAGGCCAGATGTGCAGAAACTCCTTCTATGAATTGACCCAAACAGCCATATTTGAACAAGCCTAAGCATAAATTTGTACCTCTATTAAATCCCAATTGGAGGACAATAAAAGCATTGAAGTTGAGTCATAATAAACTGCATGGGCCGGTGATAAATGATTTGAAACGTGCTCACTGACAGTAAAACTGAGGATTTCAGGGAAAAAATTCAGCCTAGGACGGAGAGATAATTCAAAAACGTTTCGGCAGACGAAGAAAGAATGAAGCAGAGTTTGTGAGGCGACAGAGGTAGGAGGGAGTCAGCTCTCCCTCATCACAACTTGGCCGCCTTTCAGCCACTCTGACTCTGCTTTTCAGCTTGTATTAATATAAATGGGGGGACAAAAATTGCCTAAACTGCATTACTTACGCTTGGGCTATTTGAACGTGGGACACAAAGCGCCTGTGAGATGATGCTCTTTGTGTTTCCCTGCGTTACCCCCAGCAGGCCCTGCGGGTGGAGCGGAGTGAAACCTAAGTGGTGAGCTGCTCTCCCCCGGGACGGCGGGGCGTACGAGCCAGATTGAGGCCAGATGTTGCAGACGCAGGAGCGAGCCAGCAGGACCGCGATCCATTTATAGGCTCAGGCCGCTTTGCTGCAAAACAATATATTGATAACAACGACCAGAGCTTCTCTGGATGCCAAACTTAACGTGAGGGACGGATTTACAGTACAGCCTGTACTCATTTCTGAAATATTTGCAGCCTTTGGGATTTTACTGCAGTCAAATGTGGTTTAAAACAGTTTGTTCCAAAGTTTCTATTTTCTCACTCATTAAATAATAGCAGAGAGTTACTGTAGTTCACTAAAACTAATAAAATAACAAAATCTGGAATTCAGAAAACATTTTTCTTAGCTTAAATAAATAAAAGCAGAGATTACCTAAGAAGAATTATAACTAGCTGGAAGTACACTAACATTCTGCAAGTGATATCCTTTGTTTTTGTGTTTATAAATTTATTTATCAGCCTTTTGAACTGAGCAGGTTAGCAGTTTACGTTAGCTGTCTGCAAATTGCGGCTGCAACAAGATGGCGGCAACAATTTAAATCTATTTGTTAAAAATAGCATCTTCTGTTGAGTATTAATCACCAAAGTGATGTATGCATAATCACAAACTCTAAACTAACTAAACAACATCTGACGGATAATAACTCAGAAAAACTAAAACTTATGAATTAGACAAACAAAAAGTCACAATGTAATAAAACTAAACAATAATGGAAAAATGAGCCCCAACCACCATTAAGCAATCGCAACAGTTTTTAATCTTTAGCAGTAATTATGGCACCAATGTGAAAGTTTGGGTTTATATAACTATCTGACATTAATACTACTGATATGACAGACAATGATAATGTGAAAGTACAGAGAAAGAACAAGATACTATTAGATAAGTGATAAACTGTTAAAAGACTCAGATTGAACAGCTTTTAGAAGAAACACACTTTCAAACTCCCCAACGTGAATCAAAGGGAAACAGAAAAAATAATCTTTAGTTTGATTATGGCGACACTCCGGATGGCGCTAATAATCCTCTGCTGTTTGTCGACGGCCTCGTTTTGTTGACTTCTGTCTGTCCTGAACACAACACTTCAGCTTCGTTTTTGTGGTTTCAGTTTAGTAAACCGAGTTAACGGATTTCCCCGACTTTTATTTCCATTCCAGAACCTGACCTTGTGTTTTCTGTTTGTCTTCAAGAGGCGGATGAACTATGTCTGCTCTGTTCGATACAGAGACGTCGGCCTTTCTAATGGGACAAACTCTGAAAACATGGCACAACATTCCTGCCCCTGTTGGCCTTCGAACGCTGTTAGCACTGGGTGTATATTTTGTTTTGGCTCCAGCCTGCATCTGTAATCTTCTGACTCACAGTGCTGACTGCTCTAGATCATCTGGTGCAGCCTCACTAATGTGGTTCCTAAATCTTCGACAGGCCTTAAAGGTCACCCATGTGGTCCGGGCCCCTCGAGTTGGGGAACTCCCTGCTTCTAGAGGTCAGCGAGAAAAACAGCGTCTTCCCTGAAGTCAGTGCAGTTTCAGTATTTAAAAAGTGTTGAAAAGTTTAAATCAGTCCAAGTTGGACAGCTACGTTTCACGGTTTCCAGTTTGTGAAGTTGTTAGTTCAGATTTTATTTGCAAAGTTTCAAATCTGAAAACTTGAGGGATTAATTTTTTTTGCCATTTGAACACAAATTTATCACATTCATTAAAATGTTGTAAAGAACTAAGTTTGTGATGAATTTAGGAAACCCAAACTATGAGAAGGTCAAATAAAGAGATTTTACAAGTATGGCAGCCATATTGGATTTTGAAATCAGGGCTTTGTGTGGAACCGTTTTCCAGTTTTAACTCTGAAAACTACTGGGATTTGCTTATTGCTTTGCTAATTATTACACCCACATAGATTTGGTAATTATTTTTGCTCAGTGACCAGGCTAACTAGCATTAGCAACACAACCAAATAATGAAACTTTGTAATATTACATTCATGAGATGCTTGCGACTCTTTTTAAAACCATTTTAACAGGTCTAACAGCAGATAAAACTGAATTTACATTACCACACATTACTGCAGAAGGCTACAGACAATCAGAGCTAAGGAAAAAAATAACGCTCCAGGATTGGCTCCCAATCAGGTAGCATTGTATCTGTGACATTTTTCTTTTAAATATTTTAGATATTGTCACCTTCCAAAAATAATGTCCAAAGTCATTTTTTGCTAAAGTTGTTTTTATTTATTTATTTTGCACCTAAATTCTGAAGGAATATGTTCATTAATGAAAGTCATAACAAACTCAGCAATCACCAATAACTGTGAAAGGTCAACTGAACCACTTAACTACGGAGTTGCGGTTGCCATATTGGGTTAGTCCTAACGCTAGTACTAGCTAGCGTTAGTAATAACGCTAGTACTAGCTAGCGTTAGTACTAACGCTAGTACTAGCTAGCTAGCGTTAGTCCTAACGCTAGTACTAGCTAGCTAGCGTTAGTAATAACGCTAGTACTAGCTAGCTAGCGTTCGTAATAACGCTTGTACTAGCTAGCTAGCGTTAGTAATAACGCTAGTACTAGCTAGTGCTTTACGTAAAAGCTAATGTTAGCTTTTACGTAAAAGCTAATGTTAGCTTTTGCGTAAAAGCTAATGTTAGCTTTTACGTAAACTGCAACCACAAATACACGCTTAAAATAATTTCCCGAAGCTTTTTTTTAACTTTAGCCTTTCTAAAAGAAAGTCAACATATTTGTGTGAGTATTTGTGAAAAGTTTCAGTTAAACCCAGAAAGTTCTCCTCTCCTGATCCGGGGCTCAAATGTTAACATGAGTGACGCAGGTGCCATTGGTCCGGGTTTTATTGTGTCAGTTGTTTTTCTGTAGATGTGCAGATATGAGCCTCACAATAAACTATAGAAAGTTATCTGTGTTTTCTCAGCGCAGAACTCAAACAGGGAGCAGCTCTTCGCTCTCCGGCCCGCCTCCTCTTCCTCCTCCTCCTGTGTGCAGGAATGGGGAGGGCAAGAAGTTAAAAAGAGTCCACCTCTGGGCCATTGTTCTAGTTGTGGAGTTCTGGAGACGGGTCGGGACGCGGCTGCTGCGCTGCTGGTACCGGACGGCGGTCTGTCGTTATGACGGGCTCCGGTCCGAAGCTGGGCGTCCTGCTGCTTGTGGCGGTTCTGCTGCAGACGGTGGTCGTCACCATCACGGTGCTGCACTTCACCTCGGCTCTGAACTCGGTGAGCAAACGGGGGAAAAGATGCGGGCTGATGGGGTTTGTTTGCGCACAGCGCGCGTTGTGCGTCAAACTGATGCTGGTGCAACAGATTCTGCGTTTTTATACAAACTCTTGCAAGATATATGTTGAAAAACTGTACTTTTTTCTAAAAAACGTTTCTATTTTGATAAGACAGACGTTTTAAGCCATGCATGTTCACGTGAAACCTGTGCAAACACATGCGCAGAGGTGACAGGAAGGGTTGCAGCCGTTTTTATGAGTCTCTGCAGAGCATGCGTGCTTCTTCTGCTAACCTGGATTTATTCCAGAGAGACTCCTGGTCTGTGTTTACAGTAATTAATCATTAACTCACATAAAATGGAGCAGCAATAAGTGGGAAATGAAACATAAACAGATAAGAAGCAAAGAACGGGACACCTGCCAGGAAACTTTTATGTTGACTCAGGTTTTTAGGAAAACAGAGATTGCCTCCTTTTTAAGCAATGCATGAGGTGGATTTTCAGGAAAATGGCTTTGAAACTGTTTTATTTTTGTCTGCACAGATGAAAGAGACGTTCGCCAGGAGCAGCGTTTCCTGTCTGACAGGCTCCGACCTGCAGAGTATCACTGCTGCACGAGGAGATCCATGCTGGCAGGTGACCCAGCAGCTTCACCTGCTCATCCAAAAGGTACCACACCTGGCTGGCTCTTACCTGGCAACACGGCAACTCAGCAACACTTGTTGGTCAGCAGATTACCCACAGACTATTCTCAGCATGTTTTCACTCAAGTCAAATGAAAAATAATAACATTTTATGATATTAGATAGACAGAAAAATGGACCAATTTTATCACTTAAAGATGAACCAAAAACACAAAATAATCTGAGCAAAAGAAACATTTTCCAGAATGAAACTAATAGATGGATACGTTAAAATTTGTTATGTATGAATGTTTGTCACCATAAATTTTTCTGATCAATAAATTGTCCCAGAAGTTACTGCAATAAATGATAATATTGTTGTTTTGAGAATATTTTCATGTAATTTTATGATAATGGCATAATAATAATAATGGAAGAACAGGAAGACATTTTAACAACAACAATATTATTGTTTATCCCAATAACTTCTGGGAGAATTTATTGTTAACAATCATGACAGGCCTCGTTAAAGATATTACTAAAGTAAACGTGAAAAAATACAGTGTAGTAAAACTACTTTTTGCAAAACGTTGCTCCAGTAAATGTAGCTTCAACTCTCCTCTGTTGATCAGTTTTTGGTCAAAACTCAAAACTGCCCTTGAAAATTACGATTCCAAGAAGCTACTTTTATCCGCCGCTGCTGTTTCTTCTTTCATGTCAACCTTTTGATAAGAAGAGAAAAAACAAACTCCAACTGTTGCAACAATTTGGTTCATTCTTTAGGTTTTGGATAAGCTGAGAACAATGAAAGCTCCTTCCACAGAGCGGAGGACAGGCAGTTATCCTTATTAATATGATTATCAGTGGCTTCCTGTGAACAGAGGCGGCAGAAAAAACGCCGAAATGATCCAAATCTCTGTCAGACGCACAATGAGCTCCTTCATAGATGTGATGTGATCCTCTGTGGTCTAATCAGCGCAGGAATGCATTCACCTGCTCCAACACACACACACACACACACACACACACACACACACACACACACACACACACACACACACACACACACACACACACACACACACACAACACACACACACACACACACACGCAGTTTCTTCATTTCACTGTTCATATTTGCACATTTTCCTCCTTCTCAGGCTTTGCTGCTTTCTTTAATAACTTAAGTTGGTTGTTTTATCAATTGTAGTTTGAATAAATTATAGAAAACTGTCAGTCCTACAGATATGGAGAATTCCTTAAAATTACAGTTCTTCACGAGAAATCATCCAAAAATGCTAAAAACTCACAATTAAAACTCGGTAGTGTTTAAAACAAATCCAACACGATCCATTTTTCCACGTTTTAATTTCTCTCACATCTTGAACTATTGCATTGAAGCTGCAGTACTTTCATATAAAAAAGTGTTTTTTACATATTTGTTAAATATGAGACAGATAATCTGAAAACAACCAATCAGAGCCAAGAGGAGGGTCTTAATGCTGTCAATCATTCTCATGTATGGCGGGAAAACAATCAAAAGTTACAGGGACACCGTTTATCCGCTGGTGCTAACTAGCCTAGCATTCATGACAGAAAACGCTAGCAGTGGCAAAGAGTGGGGGGAAAGAGCAGCATCACACAAGACTGTGAGAATATTGAGGCAGAAAAACTCAATATTTTGACAGGTTATCTGTTTCAAACCAAACTGTCTCAGCATAGAGACTGTTTAAACCAATATGTAAAAAAATAAAATACTTTTACTCAACCCATTTCTCTGAGATGTGTGGTCCATTCTACTTGGCAATCTCTACATTTTAACATCGATATCTGACATAATTAAGCTCTGTGTTGCCGGTTGATTCGCTCCAAAAACATAAATCATAATTCTCTGTTCTTTCTTCTTTTTGCAATATTTGAAAAATTTGCTCAAAATTCGACTGACTGTTGGATGGAACTTCAATTTTAGTTACATTCTGATCTTTTTCACATTTTCTAACTTGCACTTTGCAAAGTGCAGATCAGTTTTTTTATGTCACTTTTGGAGTGATGCTTCTTCCTCTCTGTGTGGCCCTTCAGCCCGTATTTTCACAAACTTTTTCACTTTTGTTTTGGATTTTATTCACACATTTTGCGCTAAAACACGTCCATTTCTGAACTTGTTTCCTTTCTAAATGTTATGTTGAATGGATTTTTATTTAGATTTTTCACACTGTTTCTTTGTCCAGGGACTTTTCTCCAAATGAGTCACAATTTATCCTTGCAGAATTAACTGCTAGATTTATTCGTATTAAGCCCCAAATTACACTGATTCCTCCAGATAAAGTCATGCATATCAACATTTCAGAAAGTTAAAATGTAATAAAAGACTTTCATTGATTGAAACAAGAATGAAAAAGCTCAAATATTAAATTTAATCTTGCATTTCTTCTAAATTCAGTTTCGTTTTTCATCAGTTTGGTTGCAGCTGCTGATAAACTGAGCAAAGGAACGTAGAACATGAGGAAGCAGCGAGCGATCGGTTTACAGGAACACGAAGGCTCCTTGTTATTCAGCGAAAGAAACTTCCTGGTCGTGGTGTCAGCACATTTCCAGGGTCAAACAGCCGCCTGTCAGGCAGAGCCGACTGTTTTCGCTGCAGATAAGGCTTAAAGTTGCAGCTCATGTTGTTGTTCTGCACTGAGTAACACAATGGGATGCCTCAGGGCTTGTTAAAGTGAGATGTGTCAGAGAAAAACGCTGTTGAGTTTGTGAAGGTACTGAAGCAACCAGCAAAGCACCGAACACCAATCTGTATGACTCCAAATAATTGTTTGCATCTGTTCTTCCTGCAGTCTCTGTCTCAGCGCTACCAGAGGCGGATTTCATCAGCAGTGAGAGGTGAGGAAAATAAAACAACAAAATCAAGAAAAAACGCTCCTTATGATAGAAAAATAATCTAGTCTGTACGGGGTTTTAAAAGAGATTAAATAATCCCAAAAGCAAAACATAGATAAAGAACTAAATTACACACAAAGCTGAATCACAAAGTGAGTGAAAATAGTGTCAGATTAAATATATAACAGCAGGACTGAAACAATTAATTGGGATTAATCATGATTAATCAATTATTTAAATAATTGTCAAGTAATTTAGCAATTAATTAATTGTTTATTAGAGTATAGAGGCCAAAGAAAAGCCAAATTCTTACAAAAAATATTGCATTTAATATCATGGTTCAGATTTACTAAAAATAATGCGAAATTATTGCATTTTAGGCTAAGAAATGTTTAATTTCTTTTGTAAAAACTGAATTGAATTTTTTGTTTATTTGCTTTTTTAATGTATTTCTAATATTACATAAACAAGTTTGAGTGATTAAAGAAAAACTTGTAGAATCTGTCATTTTTAAAGATATTATTAATCAATTAATCGTCCAAATAATTAATTCTTAAAATAATCGTTAACTGCATCCTTAGTGTTTGCTAACATGATGCCAGACATCAGCATTGACCTTAGAGAAAGTATTGTTTCTGCTGATCAACTATCATCAATAACTGTCAATCATTTCAGGAATAATAAACAGGATGTGTCCTTATCTTTTCTCTCCATAACAGATGAAGTGTCCCGCGTTTTGCCCTCACTAGTGATGGAGGACAGGGCTTCACCTCGCCCCAAAGTTGCCGCCCATGTCACGGGAAGTTTTGTGCCCAAACTGGAGCGAGATGCAGGTGAGACGACCTTTCCTGACTGAATCTGACAGAAAGAATCCTGTTTTAAATGTGTTTTCACTGGACCTGAATCAGTTTTACAAACTAAACTGAATACTTGAAGACACAGCGTCCAACATAAACAAACCTTGTAATAATAAAGAATACATTGATTATATCAGGCCTACATTATGAGATAATAATATCTGCATTAATGATATGTGAATACAAGCAGGTATAGCTTATATTATACCTGCTAGCATTGCTATATGATGCAGCTAGCATCATCATTTCAGGTGATGATGCTAGCTGGTGGTGGCTATATGATGCAGCTAGCATCATATAGCAATGCTAGCTATATTTCGCTTGTATTATTTTGCTGAATAACAAGGAGCCTTCGTATTCCTGTAAACCGATCGCTCGCTGCTTCCTCATGTTCTACGTTCCTTTGCTCAGTTTATCAGCAGCTGCAACCAAACTGATTTTGGAGTGCTAGCTTCTACATTAACCTGAAAAATTGTATGTTTAGATTATTATTTCTCTTATGTTGTCCTCTATCATTGCAAACTTGAGCTAAGAGATTAAATAATTGCAAATTGAGCAACATTTCCAATTGTGAAGTTGTTTCTAAATTCTCGTACAAGCTAGCTGTGCTCCAGTGCTAATGTTAGCTTCTCTGTAAACAGGAGTAGTATGCTTAGATTTGAATTCAGCTCTTGTTATTATTTTGTCCTCCTCTGTTGCACGTTCTTGCTAACAATTTTTTTAATTACAAATAATACAAATTGTAAAGTCATGTTTTTCTAAATTCCTGTTGAAACTAGCTGTACTGCAAAGCTTCTATGTAACAAGAAGCATTTCATTTTTTTTAAATTTTCCATTTATGTCATTGTTGCAATGGTGATAAAAAATTTTTTTTGCTTTCTTTTAATAAAATGAACGTTGAGTTGCTAAAAGTTTTAGCCACCACAAAACCTGCTATGCTAATGATTTAATTTCAAAGTTTTTCAGAGACAATATATTCCAGATTGTTTTTTCTCAACTTGTGTTTAAAATGAAACTTTTTTCTGGTTTCAGCTGCAGGTCCTGCAGGGCGACGCGTTCAGGGCCAGAAGATTTCTTGGTGGGAGGGCCAGAAGGGCCTGGCGTTCCTGCAGGACGTCCAGCTGCTGGATGGGGAGCTGGTGGTGTCGCAGCCTGGCCTCTACTACGTCTACGCCCAGACGTACTTCAGGCACACCCATTCCCTGGAGGAGAACAGCGAGGAGGCGGAGGACCGGGGGAAACCCCTGCTGCAGTACGTCTACAAAAAGGTGAACTCCTCTTTTTTAATTTGGCAGCAATACCGCTGCATTTCACGCTTCAGCTGCTTCTTATCATGCAAAATTAACTTTTTCATGGCTCTGTACTTCCACCCACTTCATTACAAGCTCCCGCTCTACAATGGCTGCTGGAAAAGGAAAATATTTTCTGATCAGCTGCAGGACACAGCATGTGTTGATGCATTTACCTCCAGACATGGAGGACAGAGCTACGTGGCTTCAGTTTATTTATACTTGCAATGTTTTTGTGACATTGCAGTAGTTTGTAGTTTACGAAGGATTCCTCTGAAAACTCCCAGCAGTACATGGCAGGACTTACCAAAAGACTTGGACTAGAGGAAGGTTTTGTTCCTACTGTTTGTGTCTAAACTCCAAATGATGGTAATTTAAGTACATTTTTCTGTTTGCTTTTGTTGTTTGGCATCAACATCTTTTGTCTGTTAGCATAAGCTAACGCTGAATGCTAGCCTCTGCTAACTCTGTGTCTGATGCAGGTTTCTTCTATTAATTCCTAAACACCAACTATAAATTCTTACATTTAAAAACTTAATATAAACAAACAATCTTAGCCTGAAGAAAAGCCTGGTAGCATCACAGGCTTGTAATCCACAGAGGGAAAGTCTGTGATGCTACATTGCTCACAGTACCTGCGCAAAATATGACAGTATTTCAATATTTTTGCATATTGGGAGAAGCGTTTGTTCTCTAACCTCTCAAATACATATTTGCAGAAAAAAACTGTCTTATTGTGCTGATTTCAGCGGCTCGTCTTCACATCATGGCGCCCTGCGCTGAAGTGAATCCTCAGAGTTTAATTAGTGACGATATAAATGTGCATCAGATGTGTTTAATCCTTCAGAGGTTAAAGGTTTGATGGTTGTGGTCAGGAGGCTCCACTTCTTTGTTTTTCTCTCTGTGTTTCTATTTGGAGCCATTTTCACATGTCTAATTATGTAAACACAGCAGCTCATTTGCATAATGTAATTATACAGCTCATTCCTTAATGAGCTCAAAACAAGCAGAACTGAGCTTTAATCTATCCTAGCATAACATTGGACCATGAATCTGCCTTTTGGTGACTCACCCCCCCTGCTGAGAAGGATCTGAGTAAACATTTAAGACTTAAATGAAACGCTGATGTTGGTGATAATTGGTCCAAACCTCCTGCCTTTCAGAAAAAAGCCGGCTTGTCCTGAACATTTCATGTCTTTAGTTTGTGATGATTCACATGAGAATGAGCAAAAGCGCCGACTTGATCCCCCGACTTCGATCAGTCAAAACTGATGACTAATGTCAGACAGAGAGCATGCGTGAGACCTGGAGTTCATTAAAGGCCTGAGACAAATTACATTCACTCACAGAAACTTTTCTCATTATTTACCTGTGAAACTAAAAGTCACACCTGAAAAAAAGTCATTTTCTAATCAGCTGCTCTGGAGAGAACTGTTTCCTCACAAACAGCGTCATTCCAGATATTTTCTCTCTTTCATGCAGGACGTCCCACATGTGTTGGTTCTGGTTTGTGTTGCTTTTTTCCTGGCGCCGACACAGATGTTGAGGCTCAAAAGAAATTGATTTTCTGGGCTGCAAAATTCAAGGAGAAAATTTTCACATAGATTGTTTTAATTTGTGAAAGAAACTTAACAGACACGTTAAGTCTGTTAACGGTCCGTCTTTTTAAATCAGAAAATTAACATTTTATTACGTGAAATGCAATAACAGCGTTCCTTTAGTGAATATGAACCATGTGAATTTGGGTAAAACATATTTACAGGCATTTTGATCTTAAGATATATTTATTTTTACATGAATAAAACTTTAAGGCTTTACAATGCATGTAACTTAAATTATTGATAGATTAACATAGTTGCATGTGTCTGCTATTTATTTATATTCAGTCATATTGAATTACATCACTCTTAGGCACATATGCTATAAATTTTATATCGTATTGTTATAATTCTATTATTGATATAGAATAATAGAGCAGCAGTTTCCCCTTGGGGATCAATAAAGTATGTTTTATTCTATAATATACATAAAAACATTTATTTATGTATATCAAACAAAATACACATAAATAAATGAAAATAAACTGTATTAGCATAGTTAGCATGCTAAGCTATTTAGCACGGTACTTAGCATGTTAGCAGTGTTAGCAAACTGCTTTTTTCAAAGCAAATTTTAATCCCTGATTGATCAAAACACTTTAGTTCAGTTCAAGTTTATTTAATAAACAATGATTTCTTAGCCACATGCTAATCAGCTAGCCCCCCCGGGTTTGGACCAAAGTCTTGTTTCTGAAAACCTGTTTTCAGTTGGAGTTGTGTTGCTTTATTTTTGCTCACCATAAGCATTTGCTTCATCAGAAGAGCTGACAAAATCTTTGATCTGCTGTATTTCAGTCTTTCATACAACAGAAAGTATTTCTGTCTGGTTTTCTGTGGCTCTGCTCCAGGTGAACTCCTATCCGGTTCCCATCCTGCTGATGAAGACCAGCCGGACCTCCTGCTGGTCCCGCGGTTCAGACTTCTCTCTGCACTCCGCCCACCAGGGGGGGCTGTTCCCACTCACCACCGGCGACCGCCTGTTTGTGACGGTGACCAACGCCTCTGCTGTGGACATGGACGAAAAGAGCAGCTTCTTCGGAGCGTTTCTCATCAGTTAGAAGGCCGATCGAAGCCGATTGAGGTTTTGTTAAAATCGATCAAACTGCTGCAAGCATCAGACTCTCCTGAGGAAATTCCTCTGTTGTCTTACGGGATCAAAAACTGAACAAAACTTTGATAACACTGGTTGGCAGAAGAGACCAAAACAACAGTTTGGAGCGTGGGTAAACTGAGACCGGACACAGCAAGGACAAAATCTGGAGAACTTTTCTGGTCTGATCAGGTCCAGAACCGATTTCCACACGAACTGAATGACTTCTGCTCCAAATACCTTTTGAAGAAACTGCAATTTCACAATTTTATGACAGTAAATATTTATATTTTTACCGCCAAACACTTTAGACATCTGAGCCTCAGTTTATTTTAAACTATATCAGGCAAATGTGTTTGTGCCACATAGGGATGGTGAATTTGAAAATAGCACTGACAACTGACTTAGTAATTAGTTATAATTGGATATAACTCCCACCACCAGATGGCGGTAAAGTGCTTCCATTAAAATCGCAAACAAATAGGGAGCAAATTCACTTTTAACCACAAGGTGGTGCTGTTTAGTCCTGATTTATGGGGATGAAGAAAATAATGTGCCACATGTTTAAAGATGACTTAAAAACATTACAAACATAAGGAGAAGAATAATATTTAAAATGTTATCACTTATATAAGTTCATCTTTTACAGATCTAAATTTAACAGACAAAATGAAAATCAATTTACTACTTAACTTTAATTTGTCTAATCTATCTGACTTTGTTTCCAAAAATATTTCCATGACCCTCAAAGTTTAGTAACATTTTCACTCATAAATATGGCAAATAAAAAGCAGAGCGCAAGAGCACAAAATATAAGAATTAAAAGTTTGGATCGTCTACACCAAAATATCTGTCATTTTATAATATCTTTACTCCCAGATCTGTTTTCTTTTCTCATTTTTGTGTCATGTAAACAAACTTCTTTGTACCATTAGAAGACGATAAAAATGTGCATTGTAAAAACACAAAGTTTTACCTGTATAGTTTCTAGTGCAAATATATTAATACACATGAAATAAGACAAATGTAACTTTAAGTAACTGTTCAGCAGAATACCAGAGTTTATTTTAATTCCTTACTTTGTATAAAATTCACTGGTTCCACTGGGAAAAATGCCTTTTTATCAGTGAAATAATCTGCCAGTGGAAATAGTATTTTTTAATCAATATTAATAAGTTATTGACTTAAAACCAGCTGCAACATCTTGTTGAAAAGTTACTTCTAAGTTAGTTTTGTTTTACTTTAAGTGTCGTTTTTGCACTGGAAGGCAGACTGAGGAAAAGTTTGTCTTTGCAGAGCGCTGACTTTTAAAATCTGTCCATTTAAGTCCACCTGAGGACAAGATGGACCTTCTTCATTTTCTACTGCTGCTATCTCATTTTCTGCCACCTAGTGGACAACCCGAGCAACTGCAGTTCACGCTACAGATTGATGCTTTGCAAAAACTTGTGAATTTCAAAGTCCAGTCAAAAACGCGTGCTGATTTCCTGGATTTGTTTTTCTTAAAGGATGTACATACTGAGCTGTACTTGGTGCATTTTATTTTTCTGAACCTTTTTCCATTTTTTTCCAAAATGACCCTGAAGCCACAAAAAGACTCGCTGAAATCCTTCTCCTGCCTCCATTTCTGATGGTTGCATCACGTTGCTGCCTGTTTAAAAGCTCTTAGGTTGGTAATTGTGTTATGCTGCACGACCTGCTGGGCTGGAATAACCATCATGGCGTCATGAACTGCTGCAGTGAGCAACACCAGATGCTCCCTGGGGGAAACAAACATGATCATCAGATGTTTTACCTCCTTTTCTGTGTTTACATTTGAGGAAAACAAACTGCAGGAAGCTGCAATCAACTCTAATAAACTAAACACGACAGAGATACAAAGAAACACTGTTTTTTCCAACGTTAGGTGAACGCATCAGTCATTACAGAGCATAAACTTTCACTTTCCCGTTGGTTAATTACAGCTGGATGTGTTTTGGGATTTAGAAAAGGGATCAGGCCTGTTGCTGGTTTTCACTTTGATGTGAATATTAAAACCAGATAAACACACCGAGGCTGAAAATGCAGTTTTTATTCTTCAAGCAGTTGAAGCTCCTAAAGTATTTGTAAAACACATGAATGTGAATGTAAATAAATATGTTTTTCAGAGTTTAAATATGTGAAATAAACACATTTTTAAAAGGAAGAAGCTTTTTTTTTTTTTTTACGTTTTTCCAAAATAATGTTTTATCGTCTGGAAGGCAGAAACATTTCTGATAAACAGTAATAAAGTTTTTTATTTTAAAATGAACTGTGTGGTGAATGAATGATGCTGCTTCTATCTATTTTTTGTTTGTATATTTATGAGCTAAATAAGCTGATAATTAGATAAAAAATAAAAAATTTCATAATTAAGAGGATTAATAAATACATACCAATTATTAAATAATTGTCAACACATGTAGTAATGGATTAACTGGAGCATCCAGACTCCAAAAATTAAATTAGTTGACAAAACAACATATTAAACAGTATTAAAGCTAAACCTGCACAAAGTATAGTTACTTTTTGCAGTTAAACTGTTTATTAATGCATTTCAGGCAAGAACATAAATTTATTTCACATGTCCAATTATGTAATTCAATAAATTCTGAGATCTTTTTAATAAAAAACATAAAAATTAATGTAAAAAGTAGCAAAACTGTCTTGTAATGAAGGCTGTTCCAGCGCTCTGCTGCCCCCTAGTGTTTATATTCTGCGCTACAAATCAGCTGATTAATATGTAAAGAAAACAAAACACTTTCTCTGATTTTCCTTTCTTTTTTATGGAAATATGTTACAGTTATATTACAGTTATTTAAATGCCCAGAAGGAGAAAACAAAAACAGTTCAGACACAAAAGAAGGCGACTGCAACTAAACCGAGACAGAAAGGGCAAAGGTCGCGAGGCCGAAAGGGTGACGGAGGAAGAATAAATACTGCGATACCACAGAAGAAGAGTCCTCTCTCCGTCCTGTTGGGTTTTTAGCAGCAGGGACCAGAAGCTCGTGGAAAAACGGCGCACAGCGTCGTCTGCAGTCAACCAGAGGTTTTAAACACATCAGAGCAGAAACACGCTGTGTGTGTGTGTGTGTGTGTGTGTGTGTTTTTAAGCTGTGTGTGACCAGTGTGAGAAAGTGCTTCATGTTCACAAACACACAAAATGACGACATTTAAAAAACAGCAAAACCAGGGATTTTTTTTTCTTTCCATTTTTCCTCCAGACTTAAAATTCACAATTTTACTACTTAAATACATGTTTGTGTAAGTTTACAACATCTCAGAGTAATATTTAGTAGCTTAAGTGGCTCACAGAGTATAAACATTCAACAGGCATATTAAACCTTGGCTGGTGGTTAAAGTCACATCCTGGCTCTACAGCTAAGCGGGTCAGAAAGTTTTGGCTCCTCCGTCTGCCTGCAGGGTGTGAAAACTTTCTGGTTGAATGCAGATCTGCTCCTGATTGGTTAGAAAACGCTGATGTAGAAAAAAAGTCTTCATATAAATTACACCAGTCTCTGATGATGAAGTATCTGTCTCCAAACCAGGGCCCTCTCACACACACACACACACACACACACACACACACACACACACACACACACACACACACACACACACACACACACACACACACATCCTGACGTCATGCTCAACACGATACACTGCAAAAACACTGAATCCTACAGAGTATTTTTAGTTATTTTCTGTCAAATAAAACAAAATTAACACATTATCTTTAATATTGATAAAAAAGTAGATTTCACCTACATACATTTTCCCCCATTTTTAAGGAGTTATTAATTTAAAACCAGCCAGGATATCCTGCTGAAAGCTACTTTAAAGTTAGCTTTGTTTTATTTTAAGTGTATTGAGACATTTGCACTAGAAAAAGACCAAAAATCCTCAGTAGGATTTAATTTTTGCAGTGCAGACAAAGTAAAGAGAAGTGAAATGAAACCTCTGCGCATACAGTAACGCTACATCTCTGCAAAAACACAAAGTTCACCAAGTGTTTGTCTGGTTTCAAGTGCAAATATTCTAGTTTATGATAAAAAAAACTAAACCAACTCATAAGTAATTTTTCTGTATATATATATGAGCTTGTTTTAAGTAAAACAATTTAATACTTATTAAAAAGTTTTAAATGAATGAATTATTCTCCAATAGGTTGCAGAAGAGTTGTTTTTTCTTATTTTAACATATTTGCAGTAGAAACGAGACCAGAATTACTTGGTAAAAGTGAATTTTTTGCAGTGTTCCTCCACACGCCACCGCGTAGCTGCCTGGTTCTGGTTCTGGTTCCGGTTCCGGTTCCGGTTCCGCTGCAGGTCGACCCGGGAATGTAGGAAGAAGTGCCGCCGCTCAACAGTCAAACCGCATCTCCAGCGACTCCTCGAAGGCCCGGCTGTCGTGGCCGGCGCCCGACAGGAAGGCGGCGGAGACGGGCGCGCCGGTCGCCGTGGTGACGTTGAGGAGGGCGCCGCCCGGGGAGCCGGCGGCGGGGCTCCGCAGGGCGGCCGCCGTGATGCTGGTGAGGTTGATGCCCAGCGTGAGGCGGGTCTGCTCCAGAGCCTTCTCCGGCACGGCGAAGGCCTCCAGCTTCTTCTCGCCGTTGGCCATGTAGGAGTTCTGGCAGCCGCGGCAGATACAGTCCAGACACGCCTGACCCAAAAACACCGACACAAACTCAACCACCAAACAGAACCCGACTCATCATCATCACTACTAGATGTTATTTCAGCTCATTAAAATCAAATTTAACTCATTTAATTATTAATAAATTACTTAAAATAAAATGAAAGTCTAATAAATTAATAATTCACTCGTAATAAATGTATTGATCTGATGAATTGTCAAATTTATTATGATGAATAAACTTGATTATAAATTAGTTTAAATAATAATGAATTTGACGATTCAAATTAATAATGAATCTAAATAACAAATTAAAGGATAAATAATAAAATTCTAGAATAAATGAATTGTTGATAAAAGTGCAGTTTAAATAACATGATAAAGTGTTATTAGCTTTATTAATATTGTTTTATTAAAAATACATAATTATTCCATAAACTTTACATTATTATGAAACATTTAAATTAATACTGATTAATGATTAATCAATAATTATAAATTAATTAATTTAAGAACAGATAAAAACCAAAGACATGGGTAATTCTGAGGGTAATAAGAAAACCAATACAATATAATATAATATAATATAATATGATATAATATCATAATGAGTTTGGGTCTCACCTTGCGGTTGGAGTAGCAGGGACAGCGCTGCCCCCTGCAGGTCAACACTGACGGGTTCTGCGTTGCTCTGCCGCACTTGCAGCCTTTCTTCTCCACGGCTTTCTTGTAGAGCGGTTTGGAGGGGCTCGGTGGGTGAGAGAGGGGGTGTGGGTGGGGCGGCGCCCTGTCGCGGGGCTGGTTGCGCGGTTTGGGGGCCCCCTGCCGGGCCTTGGTGTAGGGCTTCTTGTTGGGCCCGTGGTGCTCCATGGTCTTCTTCAGGGCCTTGTTGGGGACCAGAACCGTCTTGCCAACCTTTGGGGGGCCGCCATTGGGGACCGGCACCAGGTGGGGGTGGGGCGCGGCCGTGGGGAACCTGGGCTCGTGTTTGGCGGTGGCGGTGTGGTGCTGCGGGGTGGGGAGCGCCGGCCCCCGCAGGAGGCTGGTGATGTTGAGGGGCTGCACCTTCTCGCTGTCGCTTTCCGAGCGGGAACGCTTGCGGTGGCAGCGCGGCGGGACGTGGGGGGCGACGGCGGAGGGCTGGGGCAACAGGTGGGGGTGGGACGGCCGGGGGCCGCTGTCCAGGACCAGGCAGGCGGGGTCGAGGCGGTGCGGCCCGTTCAGGGCGGGGTAGTTGGGCTCGGCGGGGTCCGTCTCCAGAGTCCTGAGCACTTCCTCCACGCTGAGCAGCAGAGAGCCCCCCCCGTGCTTCAGCTCCTCCCCAAAATGGCTGATGTCGCAGAGCCCCGTCCCCCCGCCGGCCGCCACGCTCACACACACCGGCAGCTCCTCCGAGAAGCCCTCCTGCTTGGCCACGCCCGTTTCCACCGCGACAGGCTGCAGCGAGTCCGCACCCACCAGGCCATTGCAGTCGTGGAGCCCGTTCACCGTGGCGCCCCTCTCCTCGTCCTTGACCTCCGTCGGGGGCGGAGCCTCGTCCGGCGCAGTCCTAGGCGGCGGTGACGACGGCGACCAGGAGTTGACCTCCGGCTCTGGCTCGCTCTCGGCTAGCGCCAGCCCCTCCTCCAGGATGGCCTGCAGGTCCGGCGAGTCGCTGGCGGCGCTGGCGAGGTGCGGCGCCAGCGGCGACTGCGTGATGTAGAGGCAGAGCTTCCTGTAGCAGCGGACGAGCAGCGAGAGCTGGCGGTTCTCCTCGAAGCGGGCGTAGTCCTTGCACCAACTGCAGGATGGCTTCAGCTGCATCCGCTGACCTTTGCAGCCGCGGCAGACGTAGTGCTGGCAGGACGAGTTGGTGGGAGCGATGGGGTCCTGCAGCAGATTACCTGAGAGGAGAATGACGACAGGAAGGACCTGTTAGCAGATAGCCGCTAACTGCTGTTAGCTTTGCCACCAATGCCGGCTGATGCATATTCTACACGTTCCTGTCCCACCTAAATATCATTTATATTTATTGTGTATGCTATATTTAGAATTATTGACTATTTATTGTACAACAAATTTAAATGTTCAGCAAAAAAATAATTCAGATTTTTGTGAGCGATCGGCACGTTATTATGTAATTATGAAGTGGGAGGAAAACGATCATTTTTTAAAAATATTTTTTTACGTAAGAATCTAAAAATTGTATAGTTGAATTGATCGATCACATTAATCGTAAATAATGGATTCTTGAAATAATCGTCAACTGATTAAGTAATTGATTAATTGTTAATACAAAGTGAAACACTTTGTTTCACTTTTTGTTTCCTTGAACAGGTTGGTATCGGTCTATACGAAATATATTAATTCCATTTTTTGCACAAAATTATTCTTAGATAATAAGATTCTAATCT